GACTCAATAAACACCACACAGCCTCATCGCGTTCTCAGCTTTGACAACAATTGGATATTTCAGAGGGTGGAGAACTCAGGGTTTCTCTTCTCCACCCAGTTCCTCAGGTCCCACACCCTGAAGTCATCCTTGATTCTTTTTCTGGTCAGAGGGCAGATGTAGCTGCCTAAGAGACAGAGACAGAGAGAGAGAAAGTAAGAAAACACACCTCCTGGGTGATGGTTATGCCATAGTCCCTTCTTCTCCACGTCTCTCTCCTTTCAGGATTCTGGGCACATAGGCACAGGTGCCTAGTGTGCCCGTCAAGCTGCTGGTCCGAATCTGCAGTCGGCCATGGGGGATCCAGCTGCCTTAACCACGTCACCTGCTGGCCTGACCCCCTTCTTCCTAATGCCATTGTAGAACTGTAAATCCTGCCTTGGGTGTGGTCCAACCACATGTCCACTTGCATGACACCACTGTGATCATGTCATGCCACTCTGTTCAAAACTCTTCTGTGACTTCCTGACACACTTACACCTTACTAATTTACGTATTTACTCAATGATTACTTGTTATTGGATGTTTGCTATGTGTCAGGCACTGTTCTACACATTGGAGATAAAATAGAGAACGAAGACAAAAATTGGGCCAGCAGGTGGCATGGTGGTTAAGGCACTGGATTTCCACATGGTTGACTGTGGTTTGAGTCCTGGAACTGAAGGTTTGCTTTCTCACTTTGCTCTTTCTCCTCTCTCTGGTGAGTGCACATTCTCTATAGCAAATTAATAATAATAATAAATAATACTAAATAAGGGCCAGCAGGTGGCATGGTGCTGGACTCCCACATGGTTGACAGTGGTTTGAGTCTTGGACCTGGGGACTTGCTTTCTTACTCTCCATTTCTCTCTGGTCAAACTGAAGAATAATAAATAAAATAAAATAGATCATTCTAAAAGATAAATTAATTTATAAAATATTAAAAGAGGGCAGCAGGTGGCATAGTGGTTAAGGACACTGGACTCCCACATGACTGACTATGGTTCGAGTCCCGGACGTGGTGGCTGCTTTCTCACACACACTCTTTTTTTCTGGTCAAATTAAATAAATATAGTTAAATAAAAATAATCCTTTAAAAAACATTAAATAGGGACCAGCAGTTGGCGTAATGGCTATGTCACTGGACTCCCATGTAGTCAACTGCGGTTCATGTCCCGGACCCGGTGGCTTAAACTCACGCCGGGCATGTGTGTGCGTGCCCAAGATCCTGACAGGAGAATAGAGGAGAAGGGAATGCAGTGTGACCATCCCCCCTGGGGGGTGATTTCTTGCTTTCTGTTTCTCTCTTTGTGGCAACAACACACACCCTATAGCGAAAACCTCTCCCCCCAAAAAATAAATATTTAAAAAGACAAAAATCTCTGCATTTATGAAGGTCATTCTGGTGGAGTGAGATGGACAGTAAGTCTGTAAGTAAAACTCCTAGTATGATGGGTGTTGTGTAAAAAAATAATCCAGGGAAGGCAGGGGCCTTGAGTTTTAAATAGCGTGGTCAGGGAAGGCCTAAGGAAAGACTTAATTCACAAGCGGGAAGGTGGGAGCCAAAGGGCTACCTAGGAGTGGCAGTGTAGACCAGGGGCTCAGCGAGCCCAAAGGTGGACGCGCTCCTGGTGGGTTTCAGGCATATACCAGAGTGAGAAGGGAGCGAGGATCCCGTCAGAGGGGTACAGAGGACAGTCAAGTCCTGAAGTCTCCACTTTTTTTTCTCTGAATGAGATTGGAAACCATTGGAAGCTTTGGACAGACGAGTGACCAGGGCCTTTAAAGGATCGCTCTGGCAGATGTGTGAAGACAGAAAAAGGGCAGATTCGGGGAAACCTTTCTGACAGCTGTTGCAATTACCCAGGTGACACATGCTGGCTTGAGCCAGAGAGTGGTTCCAGGAGTGGTGAATCAAACCTACCAGCCCCTCTAGGCACCTGGCTCCCTCCAGCACCCCCAACCCCACCAGCCTCTACTGGGCATGTAAGAGGTGTCCGTTCATTGAATAAATGAGCAAATCAACGAGAAACCCACCCTATCAGCACCTATTCTAACGCTAGACACACAGCGGAACTCAGTAACTGTCTACACATGAAATGCTGAACGGGGTTGGCTGATGGTGAGCAGTTAAGGCACTGGATCGCACATGTGCCTTAACGGCTTCCAGTGGATTAAGAAACATGCGGGCACAAGTGCGCCCAAAATCCCAAAAGGAGGGAGAAAGGGAGAAGGGATTGTTGCATTACCATGCCTCATGGGGGCTGCTTTCTTTCTCTTCCCTGTGCACAAGCTCTCTAACAAATAAATTTAAAAAAGAGAAAGAAAAGAAACTGGAGTGGTGGTTAAGGCACTGGACTTCCACATGGCTGACCACGGTTTGAGACCCGGATCTGGCTGCTTGCTTTCTCACTTTCCCTCTTTCTCTCTGTAGTGATCACATGCCCTGCAGCAAATTAAAAATAAAATCATAATAGTAAACAAAATAATTCTTTTTAAAAAGATTTAAAAAAAGAATACTGAATAGAGAACACCGAACCGTTCTGCAAAGTCCAGGTGGAATTCCACTCTACAGCCGAGCTAACTGAGGCTCACAGGGACGCAGGGTCTGCGGAAGGTCCCTGGGCACAGCCCAGGGTGGAAGCGGAGCTTCCCGCCCAGCTCAGAGGAGTGAAGTCCGGGGCACAGGGCAGAGGTGCTTGCCCTCAGGGAGAGTCAGTGACCTCACGGGAGTTTCCTCCAAAACGTCCCGCCTTGTGATGGGGAAACACCAGAATCTGGCTCTGAAGCTCACCTGGCCCAAGCGGAAAATGCTACTTCAAAGGGCCTGATAAGGTCCTCCCGCGCGCCCCCTTCCTCCCTCGGGCCACCAAGACGAGGGAACAGAGGGCCGCCCTCGCTCAACCGAAGCCCCGCCCCTCGCTCGTTGGCCCGCCCGCGCCTCCAGCGGAAGCCGGAAGCAAAAGCGGACTGTTCTAGCCCCGCGGCTCCGAACTCGGTGGTCTTGGAGGCTCCGCAGGATGGGGGAGAAGATGGCGGAAGAGGAGTGAGTGGGCTTTTCCGGGGCTGCAGAGGCAGCGGGGCTGGGCCCCGGCGGG